AAGTTGCAATGCATGTACTGATCAGGCCACATCGCTAAGTGATAGTCATGGCTGCTCAATATCAGCGTTAGAATTTTCGTCATCTTCATGTTCTATTAGCCTCCGTTAGTCTCATACTCCAGACTGGTCTATATATTTTTTGTAAACTTTAGTATTTGTTACGGTAAAAGGTTTTCTTTAACTCAGGTTACTGGCGTCCTGCATATCTGTCAAATATCAATGATACTTATAAACAATTAGTTCAGGTTGGTGGGTGTGTACGGTAGAAAGGTTCATGTAGTACAACAAGTAGTTGTTTATGTGTGATGTTTCGATGTCTAGTACAGTATGTATTTTGTCATCAGCATTTGTCTAATGCAGGTGACAGACTTCATACCGCTCTAGTCACCAAAACACCACACAAATTAGTTGCTCTACAGAAACTGTCTACATATCATCCATAATATCAAAGTATGTTTAAAAAAGTTTAGGATCCCAATGCATTCCCAGATGATATGCCGGTTGACTCTTTTCCCTATAACAGATAACACAATTAGCGCCTGCTGTCGTATATTCCTGACCACAACACCGTTTTACCGAAATACAGTGTAATTTACATGTATATCTGTGTACTTATCAAACATCCATCTTTTTCCTCAAACCAATACACTTAATCTATGAACCTGCATTACCTTAATTAAATATAATTGTTAAAGTCACTTATAACTGTAAGAGAACACGTTTTATTTTCAATGATATTTTAAAGGGTTTTTCTCTCGCAATAATAAACTGTCTGGTTAGAAGTAATAACTTACAAAGTATAATCCGGAGAAAATGTTATAAACAACACTCATTAGAGATGTTAAACGCCAGTTTGTTTTCGAGTCACTGGTCATTTATAAATACGCTATGTATTTACCTAACTACATATCTATCTATATCGTGGGTTGTATATGCCTATGATACACTACCAACCAAACATAATGTTTTAAACCAATACATGCCAATGTTTTGATATATGAAACAATGCAAGTCTTTCTGTCATACGGTTCGGTTAATTTGAGACAGATGCTGGAGTGGTGTTAATTTAATGCTGTGGCAGAAACTAAAATGCTCATGGATTGACATTTGTAGCCGACAACACTGGACCTCATTTGTGCAAATATTGTTCGTTCTACCGGTATGTAAAGCGATACTTGACAAATGTATCATATGCTAAACATAAACGCAAAGAGAGATAAATACAATATCCGGTTGTTTTTTTTCAAGTACATACACATGTAAGGATTGAAGTGCATTCTTCGAGTATCTATGATACACAATTCAGTCAAAAGTGTTCCAATATTTGCGGTAGCGCAAGGAAAATGTTTTAACGTTACAATGCTGTATACCGTCATAAATATTAAAAAGATACATTTCAATCAAAAACTTTTGCCTAGACAACTTAAATAACTTGATGATTTTAGAGCTGCAATTGTAGTTGTCCTTTCAGGTATAAATAGTGAAATTATTTCATCGATATTTTCTAATATTATTGTTTACTTTAAAACAAATATCATATTATCATGCTTTGTTAACAATTCGTCATTTAATTTTGGAATCGGAATTGTATATGCAGTCGTCACATATCGAAATTTAAATAATATTCCAAGCGGTAAGTATGAGTGAGTATTAAATATGGATGGTAGGTTATCTGTATTTGTATTTCGTGGGTAAAGAAAAGCGCGCCAACTTTATATTTACCTGGGTACGCGCAGAGTTGTTTAGACAGGTGTGAAAGGCAGGTGTACTGGCGTGACCCATTGCTTTTCTAACTGCTTCTGTTATTGTGAAGTATTCGGGAGTTAGCGTGCAATACAGCTCACGGTAAGTTATATTTTAATCATCGATAAATCTGTGTGTATCTTGTGAGTTAGATCGTTGATTCTGTGTATGTTTGACCGTGTAATAAACGGCATTTGTTAGATAGTAAACAGGTGCGAAATTGAACGGATCGCAGTGATAGCGAACGTGTTGGTGTGGTAGTTGTTTACATATTGAATTAGGACTTTTGTGTTGTATTCATATATAATAAACATAGCAGCTTTATCATTATACAAATGTAACAATATATCAATGCTACTGTTGTAATTAATTTCTACGATTGAGTATAGATGAGTGAGCGATGAGGTGTGTATACGCATGTTACATAATGTATGTTGCATAATATGTTATATGTAGTAAGGCGTTTACTGTAGATACTTTCTATGATAGTGTAGAATTATGTTGTTATAAGCGTTATTTACATTTTGTAGCTCATTTCCCAGTGAAAGACCTGTCAGTTTTGTCTGAGGACAAAAGTATGGAAACCCGTAATGGCCGACGGTGTTATTGTAAATGTTTTCCACCTACGATGCACTGAGACAGCAGTTCTATGAACTGCCTTATACATATAGATATGATTATCCAGACAGGGAACGTGTTGATATTTTCCTTAGTTATGGAGACATAACACTCTATTACTGAGGCCGGGAGCATGATGTGACATACTGTGGTATGGAGGCCCGGCAATAGTTGTGTGGAGTTGAACTCCGACACAACAACTGTGACTTCAGCAGCTGAAATACAGTTCAGCCATATATGTCATCTGCCAGTTGACAAGGATGACATTCCTAGAGTGTTTTGACTACTGATTTGTGTTTGCCAGAAGACGGGAAGGAAGTTAACATTAACGTAACTTTGTGATCTGTTCCTGTCTAAAGCTAAAAAGACTGTTCAGTATATAATGGTTTTAGGGTTTTAGGTGTAATATATATATATATATGTATCTGTTTATAGACGGAATTGAATTGTAATATATATTTCCAATGTAAAATTGTATGAGAGTTGTTAGTGAGTGTGAAAGAGTATGCTTTGATAGATATTGTATATAATAAATAAATGTATAGTTGTAGACTCTCTTTTGTTGTCAATTGCAAATAAAATAATAGTTCGGCATACGTTAACAGCAGTTTACCGACACAACTATTATTTAGTCTTCCTCTACTTGCAGTTCTATTAAAATTGTTTTCCTTAGTATTTTGATACATCTTTGTCGAAAAACACATTATAAAGTGCTCCCGTTACACTTAGTAGACCAGGGTGCTTCATATAGTTGATAATTAATACCAAATATTCGTCTCGTCAATTTAATATATTTTCTTGAAGTTAAACAGAAAGCCAGTATCGCCTTTGAATAAATGATATAGTATTGTTAATAAAGATGATTTATTATTGACAATATGCTAGTTGAGGTTGGATTATCCCTACAATTTGACCTTCTAAAATGTATTGAATAATAACAAATAATTGGATTATAATGATCATATATAAAATATTGGTGTATGGGATGTATATTTCTCGATACTATAAATAATTGTCTTGCCTGTTTCAATGGGACATTCAAAAAGGCAATTTTAATGTGATCAATTGATGAAAGAGCTTGGCTATATGATTTTGTGTATCCATCGCAGGTATACTAAAAGTCGACAGCGTCAACAGTTTATCTATACATATAAGGATATGTACAAGACATTGATATATTTGCTCTAGACTTATCGACTTATTTATGATATTTACTTATGTAGATGTTAAAAGCCTTATCCATGTTAATGATGTCAAAGATAACATAGAAACAAGCAGATACGTTATTGAATTGCATAAAAAGGGGGAACGATGAAACAAAGTAACATCGAGAAAAAATATAAAATAGTAAGAAATTAAACATATTTTACTGCTACTGTGTCTTTTATTCGATTCCACCTTTTTAGTGTTTCATGCAGAATTACAGCTGATACGCACTTGTTATTAACATATGGATGGCAGCATGGCAGGAAAACAAGTTGAGTATAAAATAATAGAGAAATGCCAAAAAATCGTTCAAAAGGATGGTTTAATATACGGCGTTATCAGATAAAACATAAATTTAGCCATCTTTTATCTGTTTTCTTAATGTGTACATAGTCAAATCAATCGTCATTATCTCACAACCAAGTCACAAGGTAAGCCGGATGTAATCCATCATATACGTGATATAAAGTTGTATTATTCTAGTCACACGGTATATTTACAATTTGTATGCCTGGACCAATTGGCGAAAATGTCATTTATTTTGAAAAACACATGTGCTCTTACACATTGCGTATTGTTACAATGCTGTTATCATGCTGTTGCTAGAACCTACGGAGGAAGTTTATCATTTTCAAACGAAAAACGCTGTTCTTTTCTCTGCATTGCCTTCATGTCTGGCTATTCCTATAAGGAATGGTCGACTCAAGAAGTATTTCGTCTTTATTGTTACCATAGTTACCTTGTCAATCACTGGCGTGATTGTTGGTGTACCAATGTGGGGTCTTCTGACAATTTCGTCATAGTGCGAGTATTTATTTTAAAAATTGCATTATTAATGGTGTTGCTGGGTATAACTACATAACCACACGTCAAATTAAACAGTACAAAACGAACACACGAATAAAAGATAAAAAATCAGCCGAATTGCCGGCCAGAGAAGTTAAGTATTTTTTTCTGAATACACGTATGATCAGCAGATTGGGAAACACCATTAAATCCAATGCGCTTAAGGAATTTGACTATATATTTACGTACGAGAACATTTTATTTTGACCAGAATTTGGGTGACACATCTTTATCAATATGACATTGAGGGCATATGTTCACCAGAAACGCCGAAATATACAGATCATTGCACACCTTACTGTGACTGTTTTGATACGATTCAATCGATAACCAGTTACAAGGGTGATAGTATCAACAAATCTAAATCACACAGGTTTTAATATTTATAAAGTGTCATGTTCTAGAAATTAGTTTATGCAGACTGAGTTATCAGATAAAACAGCAACAAAAGTGGCCAGTATTTGTTGACTCTCTCTATTTATATTTAGATAAACACGTGATCTCCAATCTCGGTCAAAGTTTGCCGAACAAACCGTTATATAAATCAACTACTGCACACTCTGATATACATGTTATTTGATGTTACAGTGTGCATGTACTGATCACGTTACATCGCTTATTGATATGACATTCATGGCTGCATCGAAATCATCTTCAGAACCTTCGTCATCTTCTTCTTCTATCCGATAGTTCGAGTCACCAGACCGGTAAATATATATATTTTCTATATTTCAATGTTCCAGTTTAACAGTGACCGAATATTCTATTATTGTTGTGATAATTTTCGGTTTTTCGGCATTTGCCAAATGTCATCGATTATCATAAACATTTCTTCGGGTTAGTAAGTATGGACAGTAGACACTTCTGATCTGATGAATATGACAAACCATTCTAGTCAGAGAAACATCTCATATAAAAAAAACACTGGTTGTGCTGCATGAATCTTTCTAAAAAAATATATTTAGCATCCAAGTCCATTCCAAAAACAAATGCTTGATAATCTTCATTTTTCATGAAATTACAGACAAAAAATACATTTGGGGATATTTGTCTGATGTTTTGACACAAAGTCCCGTTTTCTAATATATTTTTTACAGTTTCAAGTGACTTAATAACTTAGTTACACCTCGTGCGTATAGTGATACATACACTGTGTACATATATGCACGTCAACAACCCGGGATTTCCATTAATCACGGAAAAAATCCCGCATATAGAATTGAAAACGATGTCATTTCGCATGTTATGAAAGGCAGACGCGAGTGACGGCAAAACGGCGATTGTTCTTCGTAAGAACTTTGACGTAATCGCTAAATCTAGCACAGTCACGAATCCCACACAAAGTAATTCCGGCATTGAGAGGGCTCCCGCACAAACTTCCATCTCAAATGCGTCGGTTCTGTCTTCAATTCAGTCCGGTGTGTTGACAAATTCATCGTTTACAAGCTGCTCCTATCAACCAACAATGAAGACGCCGGCGAAGCGTAACCGTATAACACATCCGGCTTGAACTGAATATATGTAATACTTCCGCGGATATATAGTCCGGTTAAAAGAACGTGTTTTAAGGAAAACCTTGCAAGAACTAAAAAAAATAATATAAGGATTACTTTTCTATTTAGTGTAGGTTATCGGGTGATAACTACATTGGAATTCGGGTCATCATATTTGCCGATTAATCAATTTACCCGAGTTTCATTGTAGTTATCACTCGGTAACTAAAACTAAATAGTAAGTTAATCCTTAACTATACATAAGTGGTCACTCCCTTGGTTAATATCTAAACAAGTATTTATAGTTGAGTATATTTCGAAATGGTTCTTAATCACATTTGTGACTCATTAGTCCTTCCATATATTGAATAAATTTAGTTTTCAATAAATTATTTCAAAATCGCATTCTTAATGTAATCATGTCATAAATATCATAAACATTCTAATATATATTTTATAATATAAACTTTCGAAACTGAAATATTTCACAGATCATGCTGTTCATGATAACAATTCTACTTTATGGTTATTTATCTATATATATATATATATGTATTTTTTTTCATTTTTGTCTTTTACTTTTATGATTTATTTCCTACTTTGATATTATTTGCACTGTTTTGTTTGAACATTTCAATTATTACGGAATTATTATAAGTGCTGTTTGTGTTGAAAAATAGTTGTATGTTTTTCTTTCTAATCAGTCTGTTTTGCCCTCCATCTGATTATTATATCTTATATTTTGTCCGATCTTATGTATTCTTAGTTTATCTATTCCGTAAAGCAATTATTCTATATTTCCAATTACCTGTCCCTCTGTTTAGTCTAGTACATCTCCATAGACCACCTTTTTCTTTCTTTATCTATGTAAGCCGCCATCTTGGATTGAGAAGGGATTTTTCGGAGGGCTTAGACTACTGTATGTTTAATAACAATGAATCAATATTTTCTAAGCGTTTAATTAACCACCTTTGGAATGTTGATATGTAAAATACATGATTCATGAACATGGTTGATTGTTTGTAAATTAAAAGACCCTTTATAAAAGTGTTGTTATGACAATTGTTTATGGGTTAATTATATTGCCGGTTGATTGTTTGTGATTTAAAGGGATGTATTAAGAAGCAAATCTGTTCCAGGTGACTGATATTATCGACATTGAAAATAATTCAATGTGGCAACGTTGCATGAAAGGATTTGTGGTCGATTTTTTAAATTCTTTTATTGGCATTTTTATACCCGGCGTGCTATTGTGAAATTATACAACATTTGAAGGACAATTTCAACACGTAGTCATACAGACGTAACAGGTATATCCTTTGATCCAATAGAAATGATAATGTGCCAATGTTGTATATTTGTTCCCCTTGTTATAATGACATGAACTAAAAATTCATCTATGAAAAACTTTTTTTGTTGTCATTTAACAAAGCATTGTTAAATGTTGTTAACCATTTGAATATCTTTGAGTCGTAAACAGTAATACTTTGTTGGCTGAGAATGATAAGTTATACGTTCTGGAGTTATGCCGATTTTTTCGTCTGCTGGGAGTAAGTTCCCGTTACTTACATTTATGAACTTCCTGTTTAAACAAAATGTTCATTAACGAAGGATAGACGGGATGATTGAATGGAAAGGTAAATATATCACTCAGCAACGAACATATATGCTTACACCATTACAATAATCATTACTTTATTTTTTTGTTGCAATTGTGTCAAAAGGAAATTATTTAAATTGTCGGGAAATCTGCTTTAGGTAGACAATATAAACAGTGTAAACAACTATGTGTCGGAGGGTATATACGAAACATAGAAGATATTGAATAGTTTTCCGTTATCATATATATTTACAAAGAGTTTGGATTATTAGCAATATGCTGCGCTAGTGAATGGGAAAATAATATGATAAAAATGTTCCCAACGACATTTATATGAATTGTATATTTCCTTAAGTAAAACAATGCTTCTATCAAAGGTGTACCAAAATAAAGACTGTTTTTACCTTTGCTTTATCTCCATCTGAAACTGAAGTTATACGGCTTGGAATGCAGTAATAAGAAAGTTCCACTCTGATTGTTCAATTCTTTAAGTCATATCTTCACATTTTGAAGCACATCGATTTGAATATCTGTTGTTAAGAGATATATATGTTTATGTTTTATGAAATTCATGATTTCTTATATCTTTTACTTTAAAACTATTATCATATAGTATGTTTGCGCTACTTTTATTGTTTTGTTAAATGCTATATACTCCGGAATATTTTCATGATCTTTGTGGATGTGTTCAAAGATATTGTAAATACAATCTAACTCTAATGGAATTGCAAAGGTCATATGGAAACAAACACCTATGTATATTTTGACATTTTTGATATTTTAAATCAAAATAATTTTGAAAATAATGTATTGTCTAGATAATGTAAGACCGATTCTTAAACAAAAAAGAAAGCTGAAATTCAAAGGCTAATTTTGGTTTGAACACAAACATGAATTAATAACTTATGTTGCGAGCTTTCGAAAATGTCATTATCCTTTGTCCAGCAAAGAGTGCAACTATGTGGTGACTCTTCACCGCTGAAATCAACTTACTGTGGCCCAATGTATCCAGACTCTGGTCATTTGCACTTTTTTTTTTGACCAAGGGAATAAACGAAAGCTCGCAAGATACATTTGTAACTCCTGTTTGTGTTCAAAACAAACTTAGCCTTTATATTTTAACTTTTGTTATTCAAACTTTATCCCCGGCCTGGGGAAGTAATTTATCTGGTGGGTCTTAACACCCCGAGGAAACTGTTTTGACCGCTGACTGATAAATTAGGAAATAATTATGAACTACAACTACATCTATTGATTCGACCTATTACTCTAATTTTCTAATTGATGCTGGATAACACCAACGTACCTGATATTTACATGTACCTGGCCTCAACAGAAGATCGATATAAACTATTAGATATATGGCAACATAGTGTATAAATCGTTACAAATGATTGCTAAAACACCCCGTTATCAGATACAACAGAAATGAAGCTGTCGTGCATTTGTTTACTTAATACTAACGTATTCAAATCAAACACAATTATCTCGCAATCCGGTCAGAAAGTGTATCTATCATATCACAATATTAGATACAGTAGGTTTTGTGTAATCCGTCGTGAATATTATCTCAAGTTGTAATGTTTTGGTCACACTATTTAACTGACATGAAGGGCAAAGCCTGGTTACCTTCTAGGTGAGCACCATTATCATAATAACACGTCTATTTAAAACTTCTACGTACAAGACACCAGATTGGTAAGTATGACTAAGATTGTCATCACAATAAAAGTGGAATGGCAAAGTCACACTTTGAAAGTTAACGTTTAACCAAAAGCACGGACCAACAATTATTTGCCTGCTGTCTTCCATGATTTCGATGCAAACATAATCTAGACTAGTGATGCTAAATTCTAAATAATAACGACATTAGCCATAATATAAAATACATATTGAGGTATTCTGACTATTCGGCAGTCATGCTCAGACTTTTCCCTCTAAGACGGAGGTAATAACCGTATTGAGTTATCTAGCCTTCGTCAAACGTCAATAATATATTAGGGAAAATCCAATTATCCTATCCATATACTCATAATAATTGATGCCACTAAGCTCAGACCTGCCATGTGTGTTAACCTAACGGTAAACTATATATGATATTGATCATTATCCACCAATGGTGTTAGCCCGCTATTCTTGAAAATATATTTTTTAATTGTTTTGGCCTCATATCAAATTATTCCGCAAGCTCTATTCTGGATGCAAACACCTTACTGGCACAGCTACTTCTGAATGAAAATTATTGACGTTACAAAATGTCGCTTAATGCGTTTTATACATGTGGAAAGGGAGACATGCTGAATCTACAATCGGAGGTTTGCTGGCCTTTAACCATTTTGGCTTATTAATCATATTTTAAAGGATTTAAAAAGGAAGAGAACGGTGTTTCCTCACTCTCTCTAACTGACCCCTGCATTTTTGTGTATCCAGGCCTGTCTAAGTATTTAAAAGTGAGTATGAATGTTACCAAGAGGGCGTTAGAACGGACTTAGTCTATTTGTGTAACACAAAAAAGGGAAAATAATAGGGAGGTTGTGCTATCAGCCCTTAATCTACGTTTACAATTTCTCTGTGACCTATTTAAATAATTTATGTCGCATATCTGCAGTTTATG